GGAAAATGTTGGCAAAGAAAAACTCAGAATGCGGATCGTAACTGAAGAGCAAGGAAACGAAAGATAACAGCAATTAACAAACTATAAAATAAAGAAAATAATTTCGAAATTTCCCAGTTGGGAACTCACAACTTCTCGTGCTGGAAACACAAAACAGCGGATAGCATTCCGATTAAAATGGCTAAAATCATGCCAGGAATGGCGAAGGCAAAGGCAAATTCATCGATGTAATTGCGCTCGGGCACGTCCTCCCTGGAGATTCCCATCCAGCGATCCTCTTGCCTATGATCCTGATCCTCCGCCACCTGCTGCTCGTTCTGCTTGCCACTGTGGAAGAGGATTTCCGTGGGCGATTCCATTCCCACCATTCGGAAGGCGCACCAGTCCAGCTTGAAGCCCACATTCTCAAAGATTTTCTGGACGGATGTGCGCTTGTAGGTGCAAGAGGGCAGCTTGTATAGGGGTCTCACTTCCTCCTGGAGTTCCTGGAGCCGGGGTGAGAACTGGGCAAAGCTGCCCACATGGACAATGACTCTGTAATGGGTTGCATATTAATATAATCTCAATGTATGTTTTGGGGGCTACAGATATGAACTTAAAGTTGTTAGGGATAACCAGCTTACCCCTCACGCTGCTGGGGTCGCAGGGGAAGTCGTCCCCCCATATTTACAGCCGACTCCATGAAGACCACACTCAAGTCCTCCTTACTATTCGGCCACAGATCGTTGCGGAATATATTTCGTAAATTCTCCCTTCTACCGGGATCCATTAGGTGCACCCAATTCAGGTTGTTTATTTTCATCTGCACGACATTGGGGGTGGGAAACTTGTGGGCCACAAACATCGAGACCACAACACGTCGGGTTTCGTAATTCTGACGGTTAAGGGCCACCACATCCAGACTCAGATATTTGCCAGCCGCCGATGCCGGTGGAGTTCCGTATAGGAAACCGGCGTGGTATTCATGGCTATACATATATCTCATCCAACTGGGCAAATCGGGGTAATTCTGCAGGGAGGGTCTGTAGCGAAACTGCTGGCTGATGACCTGGTGTGTCCAGTTAAAGAGTTGCGGTTCGATTTTGTAGGTAAAGAGCTCCCCAACATTTGCCTGCAGCTTTATCCCCTCCACTTTCTTGCAGATTAAAGCTAATACGGCCACTATTAAGTTTAAAAACTTCATTTTGTATTTTATGTATTTTGTTTTACGATTCACAAGCACATTTTAATTGACTATAAACAAATTGTTATTCCGCCCAGCACCAAGTCGATGAAAAAATTCCAATGGTGTGTATCTGAATGGGAGAGGACTACATATATATTCAGAACTACATAATTGTTTTTGAATTTCAAAGAGCGCGCATGCGCTATTCAATTATAACGCAGAGAATTTGTGACAGGTCAGTTTTCAAATACAGTTTTGAAATACATTGACTACAAAGATACGGATTAGCTTTAATGATTATATTAAATTTAAAGTTTGGAATAAAGTTCATATATGTATGTATCTTGATTAAAAATAGTAAATGATTGATTGTACGAAGATGTAGACATTGGTTAAGTTTTTATTTGTATGTACATAAAAGACTAGAAACACTTAATATGCCCTATTGTAACATATGTAATGTATTATTGCAATATTTCAAATATTGAAAATTGTAGTATTCTTTACTGCGATAGACAATTAATCGATATACACAGTGTATGCGTCTAAGTCACGAGTTCTTTGAGAAGTGCCATCCCTAAATTGAGTTGACAACCCTAATCAGCTGCGGCATTTCGGGCTGAAATTCTTGGAATTAAATACGTGGCTCTGTTTATCTCGCACAAATTGGAGAAGTAATGTCTGCTGACAGGTAGCAGGCGCACCTGTTCATACAAACTAGTTGCTAAAAAAGCCCTACGATGTGGACCTGTCTGTGCCAGCTCTGTTTCTATCTACTCTCTGCGATTGCAGTCGCAGCGCTGTTGGTCAGATTATGAATACATTCGCTATCATTATCATTTTATTGATAATCCATCGTTTAGATTGTAGCTCTGGTGCTCTACAAGACGAAGCCATATCCCAACATCAAGCGGCACAAGGATGAGGAGACCTTCCTGGATCCGCACAGCATTAAAACAGTGACTTTTCCCAGCCTCGAGGACTCGCCAAGTTTGGAGCTCAGTGTCATTGTACCAGCTTACAATGAGGAGGAGCGCTGTATGTTCGTTTTTGTTTTGTTTGATGAATCACAGTCAACATTTCATTTATGTCCATTTATGGTTGACTGTCTACACCTCACCGCAACTTCACTCCATTCACTGGCTATAGTTTTTTTTTCCGAAAATTTGGCTAAAAACTTACATTAGTTAGACAACATGATCTTATTTGTATTAATTATACATTTTTAGTGCCCTCTATGCTGGACGAGTGTTTGGCCTTTCTCGAACAGAAATCTGGAGGCAATCCCAATTTCACTTACGAGGTAATTGTGGTAAGTGACGGCAGTCAGGATGCCACAGTCTCCGTCGCCTTGGGTTACTCGAAAAAGCACGGAGCAGAGAAGGTTCGCGTTTTGGAACTCATTGAAAATCGGGGAAAAGGAGGTGCCGTTCGCATGGGTATGCTAAGTGCGCGGGGTCGTCATCTGCTCTTCGCGGATGCGGATGGAGCCACCAAGTTCCCCGACTACGATAAACTGGAGACGGCCCTTAAGCAACTAGCTCCCGAATGGCGAGACGATGGCATTGCCATTGGATCGAGAGCTCATCTGGAGAACGATGCCATTGCGACAAGGAGTTTCTTTAGGTAAGATGGCATATGAAATTTGCATTTAAGCTTTAGCTGACAAAACATTTCCTTAGAACCATTCTGATGCACGGCTTCCATTTTCTCGTCTGGCTCTTTGCTGTGCGATCCATTCGCGATACCCAGTGTGGCTTCAAGTTGTTCACCCGGACGACGGCCAGGAAACTCTTCACCAGTCTTCATGTGGAACGGTGGGCCTTCGATGTCGAGCTGCTGTACTTGGCCGAAAATTTGAATCTGCCTTTGTCCGAGGTTGCCGTTCGATGGACGGAGATCGATGGCTCGAAATTGACACCATTTTGGTCGTGGCTGCAAATGGGAAGGGATCTGTTTATGATTTGGCTGCGATATCTGGTGGGCGCCTGGCGCATTGCCTCAATACAGAAGAAGGAGAAGTGAAGTGGACTTGAAGGGCGTCTCATTCCCAAAATTAACTAGCATTTTGTGTCGAACTTACTCCGCTGTCGTGCATTACCAAAACTCTTTTAACTCTAAACTCTATTTTTGTAGGCCTGATAAAGTGTAATGAATTCTAGCTAGTTAAGTACTTAAGTACAGTATTTTTTCAAATAAAAAATGAATAACTTGATTAAAGTAGCGCATGCATAGTTCTCCTAAATGTTAGAAACTTAAAAACGTGACAATATCAAGTAGTTTTTCTTTTGAATACAGCAACGATTATTATTGCGTTCTAAATATATGCAGTTTCTCTTCAATTGCTCTTACCGCTTTATACATTTTGAAAATTGTGACTTTTTTTAATTCATAATATTGAGACAGAAAATACGCGGGAAACTAAAACTAAAGGCAGTATATGTGGTATTTCTTATAGTCTCGGCATTTCTAAAAGTAATTATATCAAATTTGGTATATCTCCCCACTCGAACTGCGGTCACACTCCAACGAAGTTGCGGCGGCGCGTTTAGTTTCGTATTAAATCGTTACTATTTAATTATAGTTAATTAGTGTAAACAAACCAATCAAATATTAATACAGCTGCCACGTGAAAACGGAAGATTCCAGTTAAACCGAAGGATCGCAAGTGCAACTGCCATGGGCGCCACTAAGTGAAGAATTCCAGGAATCCTACGTTGCGCCTGTTGCTCCTCTCCCTCTCTCTGAAATTTGGTGCAGGTGTGTGCGGGTGTCCGCTCGTCTGTGTGAGCGTCTCAGCTGTGCCTGCGATATATATTGTTTATAAAGTTTTTTTTTTCGCAGTATGCAAATGCTGAACAAGCCGGTCGGTTGATATTTCGTATTTACTCTCGTCGCCGCGCAAACGAAAGTGATTTGTTATTGTTGCCCATTGCGTCTGCCCCTCCAATTGGAGAATTGTGATTTGCTAGTGGTGCGCGCTGGTGTTGTTGTAGCTGCTGTTATTGTTGTTGCTATGCGGTCGGGTCATTGCTTCAAATTGATCAATCAACGGCACTTGTGGTAAGCTGGTGAACTGGCACAGTTATCAATTTTATTCTTCCTTTCTGTCCCCTTTCTATCGCTATCGAATTACTTCTTTTGTTCTTTGTCTTATCAGCATTTATTCAATTGCCTAGCAAGCTGCGCTTGAAACTATTGGATTCTCGTTAGGGCTGATAAGAAATACGAACTCTGCGCTCAATGCACTCTAATCAGACGCCCTTGCATTTCGCATTCTCTGAATATATTGCCTTTGTCGCATTTTTCGATGGAAGGCGAAAAATAAATCAGTGTTAATATACAAGATTTGCGCTAGGGTTTTTTTAAGCTTATAAAAATAAGCGCTTTGTTTCTGATAAGAATAAATGGCGACTCTAGCTTTAAGTCACATTAGAAACTAATTGTAGACATTTTCATATTATAGTAACAATAAATAGTAATACCAATTAAGGACAAAAGCATAGAATATGCTTTATTTATTTTAAAATAAAAATTAATCTTATTAGTAGATTAAGTAACCTAAAAATTGATTTCAAAATAGAGTGAAATTCTTGCTAAGGTCGCAGATTTTCCAGTCTTCTTCTTCGTCGCCTCTTGACTAGAAAAAGCGCGACAATAAACAAAAATTAAATGCAAAGAAGAATACAAACTAAGCGCGACCATTTGCGTGGCGAAATTCAAAGTCAAAAACGAGTTGCCAGACCACGCCCGCTATATGTATATATACAGGCGTACGTATATGTACATTTATATGCATGTATGTTGTGCATATAGCCCAGGTCTTTGGGCCTCTCGCTCCACCAAAAAGATTTATGTACACATTGCGCCTTCTGCCTTTTTGCCATCCTTTTTCCTTTCTGTGCCTCGGTCCGTGTTTATTTTATTACTTATGGCCATGCGCGTTGCGCTCAAGATTCTCCGGGCCCCCCTTTCTACGCTCCGTTCGCCATTCCCCCGCACTCCGCTCCTGTTTTTGTAGCGGCTCTGCTTGATTAAAGTGCCAGGGGGTGGGGCAGGAGACGGGGAAGAGGAAGAGAGGATGGGGGGAGATCCAGCCAGTTGTTGTTGTCGCACGAGCATTTGTCGCTCCAGCTTTGTTTCGCTCTGTTCCAGACGCGTCCGTTCATGTTCCTTGGAGATCAGGAGCGGATTTCTGAATCAGAAGGATAATAAATAATTTCATAATTTCTAGTAGAAAGCTTAAAACTACATCTTAAAAGAAGAAATAATTGTGTTCTGGTCTATTAAATTAAGACGTTATCAAATCATCTTCAAAAACTTCCTAAAATAAATTTACAATTTTCAAAATAAATATTATATCTTATATCTTACAAAACAATCTCCGATATTTTTAGGTCAAATGTCGCACTGCTCCCCATTCCCGAATTCAGAGCACTTCGCTCCTGGAGCCTTTCCTGCGTCTTGTTAGCTTTTGTTGAAGTGTGATAATGCCAGAGATCGCATGGTGGCTGCTCCTCTGGTTGGAGCCCCTTTTTAACGGGCCGTTTGTTTGTGTACACGCTTCTCGCTTTGCAACACGAAATGGAAGTGGCGGGGAAAGGTGGCAAAGGGAAGCGGCAAGAGAATGGGGAATATCCCGCTTTGGGGCTAATCCTTTAATCCGCTGTGCGCGACTTCAAGGTCAGCAAGTGATCTTTACTAGTCTACATACATATATACGAGGTTTATATGCCCTGTCTGGTCGGGGGCTAATTAATTGTCCGTTTAATCGTTCGATTTGCTGCCTGGCTTGTCTGTCCACTCTTCTCTTATCCAATAATAGCCAGCATGCAGTATCTGTAAATGTATAACTATATTTTCCCCTACTTTTCGGCATCCCATTCTGATTGATGTCAACCGGAACGCCCACGGCAATTAGTCAACCAGGTAACTCCCAGTGCTCCAATGTTCCAGTGGCTCCATGTTCCACGGTCAATGCCTCGAGCGGCGCTGAAAAGATTCGCACGCCCACGCCCCCCAAAAATAGATTTATGGCCTTGTCTTCAGAGTGTGTTGTAACCAATCTTTTTGGGCGAGCGCTTCTAATTTTAACCCTCTGTTTGCCAATGCGACATCCATTCTGACGTCCCACAAATCGGTCCATTAAACTACATATTTAAACATTTTTCTTTGCCGATGGGAAGTTTAATTATATCATTAAATATTTTCTGTTCATACGTATGCATTGCTTAAAATTAATCGAAGCATAGGCAACATGTTTTTGTACCTTATCGATTTCTAAAAGCCGTTTTACACTATGTATCTACTTTTTTTTAGGTAAATAAAAATATGCCTTATATCGAAGGGTTAAAACCGCTTTGGCGTGCGTGTAAATATTAACATTCATTTTTGGTTAGCTAATATGTTTCTTGTCTTTTCAGACACTTTTTCTTGTCAAGATGATGGGCACAAAACATCGAAATTCACATGTCAATGGCAGCATTAAGTCATCATCATCGTTGCGATCGAGCAGCAAATCCTTTCAGGCAAAAATGGATCTGATGTCTGAAAGGCTGTACGACGTTGTTAAAAGCGGATCGATGGTCAAAAGGGCCCAAAACAAGAAACGTTTCACCCCCGTGAATTACAAACATCGATGGTTTGAGTTGACCAAGCGAACATTCAGCTATTTCGATGTGGAAAATGTGGAGGTGAGTCATTCAAATGCTTTCGGTATTTCAGCCAACAGGTTTCATTTGGCAAACACTAATCACCTTAAATATTGAATGAACATAATTTAAACAAAATGACAATGTAGATAACATCGGCAAACCCAAAATACTATGAGAAGGTGCTGTGTATTTTTATTCGAAATCAATAAACTCATATAGCTTATCTATCAGTAGATAACATAGGAATTATTCATGGATAATCTAGAATTTGTATTATAAGTGGTGGAGCGGTGGATAATTGCTATAAGTTAACTAATACTTCAAATGGTTTATATCACTATGCACACTTAATTTAAAGTATCTTGTAAAAATAATAGATCAGGGAAATTGTATGAGTATGCTAGCCATAAGGCACATCGGAGTTAGCCAGTTGGCCGTCCGACTGACAATGACAGGTCCTAGGATTCGAAGGACCGGAAACTGGGCGTTGTGAATTGGGCAAAATGGTGAATTAAGAAGAGTCCTTTCATTATGCATGTTCAAGTAGGCGTCTCATCTTGTCGTCATGGGCTCGTCATTTATTGCGTCGTTATTACGGCACCTACCGCTACTCAAAAGCTACTCTGCTCCGGCGACCGGCTGCATTCGTTTCAAAACAAATGTGGTTTTCGGGAAAAGTCTCCAGTCTGCTCGGCTTGGGTCGTATATGTACCACCATCCAGTCTCCGGCTGGAACGTAAGCACTGTGGGGGATGGAAAATACACACACAAAAGCAGCTGTTAGCCGGCATAATGTGTGTGAAACCCACCCTCGAAAGTCCTTGGGTGTAGACTCGGTGTCCTATCCCGTTATGCCGTTCCAATTGGAAGCGGAGTTTCCCTTGAGTTTCCCTCTGAATATCCTGGATGAAGTTCAGTAACCGTGGCAGGAGTTTCTATCCTGGCTTCGTCGCGTGTGGACGTGCGGTAAATGTTCGAATAAATTGTTAATCAAGCCCAAAGAATTTGTTATAGTTGTTTTAAAACATATTTCTGATTTGCATGACATTTCAAATAAACAACAGCGTGTTAAAGTCTCGAGTGCCGTATTTATTTGCAATACTTTTCAAATTACAATCATTTTTCTAATGCGCCGGCCGCTACCCTTGAAAATTGGATTGGTTTTCAGCGGCTAAGTGAAACCACCCTTATTTACCCTGTTTCTAGCTGTTTAAACATTGTTCTAACAATATTTTATCTCTACTAAATCATATAAATGATTCGAAAAGTGCAGTGCATCCTATAGATAGCCGAAAAGAAGAAAACAGCCAAATCAAACATTTAAATCGCAAATCCTTTCCATGGCGTCATTGGAACATTTTTTGCGAATCTAACCGAAAGCCACCGAAAAAAGAGAGAAGAAAACGCCCCACCCAAGGCAAAAGTTTTTCAAGTGTACCCAGCTGCCTTTGTGTGCGTGCGTGGTGCGTTTGTGTATGTGCGTGAGTCCCAGTGCTTTTGTTGTTATTGCTTTTGCTACTTTTGCCGCACCCCGAATTTCGAATTTCGTGTGCCTGTGCCTAAATTAAAAGGATTATCCTGACGCCCAAAAGGACGCACTTTTAGTCCTAGGTAAGCATTGAACTGAAACGGAGAAACCCCTTGGGAGGTACTAGTTTTACGTGCCAAGTTTGAATATCGTAATTGAATTACATTGGGGTTTTCCTTCTGGGGAATTCGGCTGAAATTATGCAATAAATATACATTTTATGCTTTATTAAAATTCACCGAAATTTAAATGTTTATTCCTTTAAGGAGTTAAGCTTTTAATGGAGTTCTTTGTAAAGTATCACCGCTATAACCCACTTTTAGTGCTAAACTACTTCATTAAAATCGAATTATATATCATGCTAGTAGTATTTTCCATTTCCTTGAACCTCAAAGCCACCGGCAGTCGAGTGTCAATCACTCCTGTCACTCGATCCCATCATTTTCCTATACATTTATTCATTTCGCTGGCTTTCCTTTGGCACTTTTCTTTTGTCCCTATTTTAAGGGCTGCTGCGGAGTTCGGGGGTTCGATGAACTCGTGTAGAAAATGTGCAATTAATTGATTGATTCGCGGTGGCTTCTTTGTGTGGTCCCACCCCATTTCTGTAAAGTTGAGGATAAGTCCTGCTACTTGGCACTCTTCAGTCTGCCTTTCTTCCTGCCTTGTAATCCAATGGCCGAGCCTGTCATGTTTATTGGGGTCAGTCGCTTGGTCACAGGGCGGACTGATTAATGGCTAGCCAGCAACAAGCTGAGTCGGCCCACTCATCCGAGTAGTCACCTAGTCATTGCACTTATACACTAGCAAAAAATGAATAAGTACTGGCATACTAGGGTTAGTTGTTTTAGAGAGGATCCATATCTAAGTCCTTTCAAAGCTGTAAAATATTTAAAGTATAATATTATCACTCGTGAATCAGCAGCAGCTTTATCACCATTACTTCATTCTAATATATATAAAGTCGCTGAGCCTTACGTTTTAGATCAATCAATCAATTTCTAGCAATTTTTTTGTTTGGTTGATGTTCAATTCATTGCCTAATTAAACAAAAAGGTTCTAGCATTTTTTGTACCTTTCCTGGTTGTGGGTATTGCACTCCCGCCTTGGCTTCATCATCAGCAGCACCATCATTGTCGTAGTTGTAGTTGTGTCATTAACCTGTCATAAAAATCGCAGCTTGGGCCAGGTCCCAGTTACAGTCGCAGTCCCACGAGTGGAAAAAGGGTGAACTGAAGTGAGGTGGGAGCTGGGCTCTGGGGTCTGGGGTCTGGAGAGCCGAACCATCCTCTATGGCTCACCGCCGTGGTATGCTAATTGAACCTGGACTTTTTGTTTGCCAACACTTTGCAGTTCTCTACGCTGGCCGCTCCGTGCCAATGCGTTCGTTCTGCTCTCAAATACATTTTGCACAGATTAAGGCTGTAAATAACAATTTACCAAAAGGAGGCGGGTCGCCTCGCAAGCCGCGTTAAATGGGGAAATGAACTGGGGGCGAAGTGTGAATAACGAATGTGGGAATGCACTTTCAATCAAAGATGGCGGGAGAATTAGAAAATCTTACCTTTTTAGGACCTAATATTATATTAAGCAAACTGTAAAAATGTAATATATAAATCAGAGGAATACAAAATTATTAAAAACGAAATCGATTGTATGCTTACATTGATACAGTTCTAATCGCACTCCATTTAACCCCTTTTTAACTGAACCCAATGATATTTTCCCTGGCCACCAATATGTGATGTATTTATAGCTTCGAAAGATAAGTATATAATGTGCATACCCTTTCCATATATCTATTTTAGAGCCAGTGGCCACTGCCCTTTGGCTAATGGAGTTCCTTGCCACCTTGGCTCGTAAATGTAAATGCTGTAAATGCTTTCCCCATTATTGATGTTTGCCTGTGAGAGTGTGCGAGGACTAATCCTGTCCAGTAGCCAATACGCAGCGAAGAACTTTTTTTACGACTTTTCGGAGAGTTTTTATCTTTTTACGACGTGCACTTCAAGGTATCTTTTCAGTTTGGGAACCCGGCCTAGAGCTGCTGATCAATCTACCACAATTGTGAGCCATATACCCAATTAGACGTTCAAATTTATCACTTTGCTGGCCGCCAACTTTTTCTTATTCCACCCCGGTTTTAAGCCGCTTCGGTGAAAGAAAAATATGTGTCTGTCGTGGCGATTATTACTCATCGCATGCATTTTAAAATTCTTCACGAATTGACACCTTTGGGAGGCCTCCGCCGAATGGCTTAAAGCTGATTTCGTAGAATTACAAAACCCGCATCGCTCTCCTACCCCTCCTCCTCCCCTCCTCCTCCCCTCCTCCACCCTCCCAATGCTGACAAATTAGCGAGCGGAGCTGAATATTTTTTCATATGTTGGGTGGTCCCGTTTCCAATCGCTGTCTTTATGCCTTTATAAATCTTCGCGCTGCATTTTATTTAACACGAAATTGGCGCCAAAGCCAAAATGTTTTTGATAAGCCTCGTCTTCTGTTGTTGGTCGGGGCTGGGGAACGCGACTCTGACATATGTTAGCCTTCTTTTCAGATCCGAAAATGATCGGATGGCATGACTCTGTTCCTGGACCTTGGAGCCAACCTGACTTTCCTTGCGGTTGGCAGCTGCAGTGGCAAATGACCGCAGGCTAAATGACCGAGAAGTTTAAGCCTGATTACAGTTACTTGTTTAAGGATGCTACCGCTTAATGCGCAGGGTATATAAGGATATTCTGCAGAAATATAAGAAAAATGTAATAGGGCAATCTATTTTTGTAACCTTGAACGTAATGCGATATTTACTCAAGTTTTTGTACGCCCAAAAGCAATCAATTAAGAGGGCATTAAAAATTCTTGGAAACAATAATCCCAAATTTGATTCCCCTTTCCATATGACAGCCCGACATATGCTGACTAATTACAAGCACTTTTCGAGCCATTTACATGTGCACATATGCTCAATACATATCAATTGTGCAGAGACCAAGCCCTTTTCGTAAGCACTTGTAACAATTATGAATCACAATCGAAAAGGTAACACTCCAACTCCAGACTCGGATTCGAACTGAAACTCGAACGGAGCATGATGGTAATAAAATTATAAGGAAAACCTGTTGGACAATTGTGGTGGTCTGTTGGTACATGATTTGCCTATTAACGGATTTAAGACCGCGAGATGATTCATGCGATGAATGGAGGTGTTTTTGGTGTTATCCGCCGTGTCTTGAATGCCAAATGAAGGTTTTGCAGCGTCTAATGAGTTGTAAATCCCAGAAGGAATAGCCAGAGGGCCAAGGAATATATATATATATGTACATATATGTATATCATACCTTTTGTGCCTGGACTCCAGACGTCGCATTGTCTGTTGAAGCTTAAGCTTTTCATGCTTCATTATGCTGGCTTGAATGAATCTCTCCTATTCGTCCTCCTGGCTCCCTTTGTTTTCCTTCGCCCACGAGCTGACATTGAGTTATTACATCCAGACAGGGAACCGACCCTAAAGTTGGCCATAAACAGAAAGCCAAGTTCCAATCGCGTTGCTCCCACAGCAAGTGAGCCTAAGCCTAAACACGCTTTACGCCTTATTATCGGCCGGAGACAATAAACCATCGTTTAATTGGAATTAAGTTCGAAAATAAACGCCTTTCTATGGAAAAACTAAAAGTCTTATGCGTTTTTATTGGCATTATCGCCTCAGCTATTTCCGCTGTTAATTTAAAGCTCACGAGCCATCGAATCAAATATCAAAAGTAAAAAAAAACCGTAGACCCAGAAAAAACAAACCGATCCCCCAATAATTAGAAATCAAAGCCGGTTTCATCCAAATGTGTGAGCATGTGTGGGACAGTGCGGTTCGATATTATAAATTCTCAATAAGCTAAGATAATAAGTTAAAGTCGCCAAGTTGTATAGTTGTTTCAGTAAATTATGTCAAGTTGGTATTCAAATATATTTATTCAAGTTATTTAGCTTTTTTATTCTAAGCCAAGTTCCGTTCATTTTCGAAACGCACTGTATCTGAAAACGATTCCGAAAACTTGTCTACTTTCGTATTCAATAGTGTTATCATGAAAGATGGTCCGAATGGCCAGACGCAGACCGCAAACGCGGCTCCGGTCGCCGAGTTCCAGATTGTCGAGAGCTCGTAGCTTCCCCCTTTCCACCTTTGTGGTTGATGATTGATCTTATCGCGGCCCGCTCGCCCCGTGAGTCATCATAAAAAACACATATTTTTCTTCTTCAGCAGCCGCAGCAGCAGCCGCAGCAGCATCAGCAGCGATCGCCATAAGTTGTTAGCTGTTTTGTACTTTATGGCCTTTTGGCGGCGAAATAGGAGCGCTGGATCGCATGAGGGGGGAGGGATGGGTTAGGTTCATAACTCAATGTGGGTTGTCGTTTCGGTTCTGTTTAAGCTGCGTGCGATACTTACTTTCCTCCGTTTTTATTTTGGCCCACACAAAGGCCGTTGCTAGAGTACTATGGAACGAAACGTAAGCTCGGACAGTTAAAAAAGATGCATTCGCCTTGTGGGAAAAAATGTAATTACAGCGAATGTTCAAAATTACTTTTTCAAGTCGGTGAACATTTACGACTTGGCATAAATCATTAACACAAGGAGCTTACGTTTTCAATAGCTTTGTGCCATTTTGGCAAAGTAGGAAAGCTATTAAAAGTAGTATAACTTACTATTAACAAAAAATAACTTACTTACAAAAAATCGATTTCCATCTTACATAACCAACATGTAAATTATGTTTCTTACTTTTAGTTTTATTTAATTTGAAGTAAGCTTTTTTTCCACTGTTTATCAACCCATTCTCATAAAATGCGTAACTGTAAAATCATGCGAGCAATTGTCCAAGCAGACGGGCAACAAAATATTCACACACTGCCTCAAAAAATGTCCAAAATGATAAATGACTTTCGCCGTTTGCCGCTTTTGACTCCAACTAATTTCCGCTTCCAGTGCAATTTTGCCAAATCAAAATTCCCTCGAATCTGTCGTGTAAAAGATCCCGATATGAAACGCAGCCGGCGACTCACTTTTTCGCTTTTTTTTTTTTTTTACTTTTCTCCCGACTGCAGCATAGGATCACATGTAGGCATGTCCAGTGATTCAATCTGCTTGGCATCCACCCCATTTCCGGTTTCCATTACAGTTTCCCAGGCAGCTCTTTCACCCGCCATTGCGGAGTGGTGACCACTCGTGGCTCTTTCTTTTTCCATTTTTAGTTTTGGGGGGCGTTTCGCAGTCATCGGTCAGGAATTGGCGCAGACACTGCGTTTCTGCCAGAAGGAGGAGGATTCCAGAGTTTCGACCCAGACAAATTGCCCCGGCGGCCGTTGCTTGTGTTCTCTACTGGTGTATCAGCTCCAGTATGCGGTTGCGCCAGTCCAAGCTACAGTGTTAACCTGATAAATGGCACTTTATAGTAAAATGTAGTGTTGCCTTTCAACGCGGGTTTATCTGGCTTTTACTCAAAGTCTTGATTATAAATTCTTCCTCTTTTTTAAATTTTCTGTCATAAAAGTATTAACATTACATACATTTGCTGGCTAACAACATCTATTGTTAATGTTAGGATATGCTATTTAGAATATTAAGCAAAGAATATTAATATTTCAAGCAATGTTAACTGTAAGGATTGGTTTTATCGAAGCTTCACTCTAAATAAAAGCTTAACGCCCTCTTCCTGGCCTAATTATGTTGTTGCACATGCACATTTTTATGAATGAATCACAGCCTCCAGCTCTTTCCCACACGAATGGAAATTATTTATAAAAATGAATTAGTCTGCGCTAAAAAAAGTTGTGGAATTAAAAAGTAAAAAAGCAGATCGCCCGAGCAGGGACTTGAACCCTGGACCCTTGGATTAAAAGTCCAATGCTCTACCGACTGAGCTACCCGGGCACATGGAAACAGGGTCGCGAAAAACGGAATAAGAGTAAGCTCGCCAAAATCAAGAGAACTGTTCTGGCGCTCTGCCGTTCTGTACTCTCTTTTTAAGTTGGCTGTTGTGAATGAGGCTTAATGAAGCCTATAATCCGTTTAAAACTGTTAAAACTTTGTTTAATATTTTAATTTATTAAGATAAAAACATCTCTCTGACAGCGAATATTTTTGCATTTTCTATGCAAAAAGAACTCAACATGGCAGGGGAAATATTAGCAATACTTTGTTTTGTTTCTAAATAAAGAAATGATGTTTTTAGACTTGTGTGCATATGCACAATTGTACTGATTTATTTATAGAAAAATCC